CTTCCGTCAAAACATCCATATCGAAAGGTGCAGATGTAGTCAACGTAACCGTAGTTAAGCACTTGCAAAGCAATACACCATCACATTCGAAAGATACAGATGACTGTGATGGTGGAACGCAATTTGATTTGCAAGCTGAGTCGGATGGAGCAGCACCACTTCGCGACAGCTGTTTATGTGCGGGTATGAAAGCAGACTATTGTAACTGTCAAACACTGCAGAGTCAACTAGCAAGCTGCTCTTCACCTGCGCCTCCTGCGCCTACCACACACGCCACAGTCGTTGGCATTGCTGCAGACGTAGCTGGAAATAAGCGCAGTAGCGAACCGATATCCGGTCAAGAATTAAGGCTACCCAAAAAGCGTTTAAAGAGCACAGGTACTAAATAGGTTTTTGCCATTATTATTTCGCTTTTATTCAAAGTGTGTGATTTACGTACAGAAATCGAGCATGTGCTTTCAAGCTCCTTGGATCAATTAGGTAGAACGCTGGATGAACAACTGAATGCAGCAATTGAGCTAAGGGACGCGAGTAATAAGTACGAGATGCCCAATTCCACTCGAAGGATTGACGAAATAATGGTATGGTGGATGATGTGTTCTTTTGTTTTTGCACATTTTACTACTAATTATTTACGTTTTAAATTTTAAGGAGGAACACCAAATGCAAAGTAAAATCTACGTAGATATCAAAAGTGAATACGAGGTTCAAAAACAAAATACGAGGGAAAGCATGCTAGCCACGACACTAACAGCATTAACGCCGCTAGCGTCACTTACAAGTAATCAACAACAAATGCCATTGCAACAACATAGTGACGATGATAATGATGAGCAGACGGGGGAAAACTAAATTTTGTTGCCTACAAAACGGTGATGTTTATTCCGTTGTAGCCAATGATGGGTCGAATGCCAAGACGCATGCTCGGCGAGATGTAACTGCATCGAATTTTTCGTTTGAGGTTTCACACTTTTATGGCACATATATGTAGATAACACAGGTTACAGAACGAAAGATCATCAATTCAAGGAATACAAAAAATACTTATGACAAATGACGCCTCTACAAGAAGCGAAAAGGAAATGATATTCTCCACACAAATATCTATCAAGATGGTCGGCACATGGTTGCCAACTACCTCATTTTTTATGAAAATATCTCTAAAAATATGTAGTTTTTATTTTTTAATGGAAAAGAAAAGCAGTTGTACATTTGTATGCATGCACTGCGTACATACATACATTGTAGGTGTGTGAAATGCATACATACCTACCATACAATGTGAGGGTGCCATATCAATTACGCTTTTGGCAGTATCTCACCATAGCGTATGAGTGATTTTTAAATTTGCATTAGATGGAATACGCACATGCATATATTAAGTAGTTATGTATGTAGCTTGAAAACGTAAATGAATCGGCTTGTGCAGTACACTGGTGCATACTATAGTCACTTATGAGTGTCAATCCATATTAAATCGGCCAATATTTGGAATCGACTATTTTTGATTTTTATGGATTTTGGTTAGAACTTTTCTTTTATTATATAAAAAAAGTTCTGCCACAAGAAAAAATAAAATTTTTTTTAGCGAGTTGAAAATTTCCCGGATTTGCAAGTTAATTTTTTTAGGTCTCAAAAATTATTATAGTTACAAAAATTTTTCTGGTCTCGTTTTATTTTGATATTTGACACTAATAAAAAAAATAAATATCAAAAAGATCTAAAAATACAAATCCAATTTAAGAAAACGTAAAAACAACTTTGTTTTTAAAGCACCTTTAACCGAGACCAGAACAGTTTTTATAACTATAATTGTTTTTGAGATATATAGTAAAAAAAAA